AATGCGCCCTTCACATTTTTTTTCAATTCCCACTGTCTGTCTCAAAGCATTGGTAAATTTCATATCTTTAAATTAAACTGAATTGAAATACTTATCTTTGCATCATTTTATACGGATTTAAGACTGGTTTTCAAAGGAAATTTTCGTAACAATACCGGACATACAGGTATAAGGTTATCGATCCACGTTTGTATTTAAGACGTATTCGTTTCGAATATTGGCTGAGATACAGACTATTTATATTTATTTTTCTCAGTCTGTTCATGCGAATGCCGATATAGTATCTTAAACTGTATCAGTACCGAAGAACGATGCTCTACATTCTGCTTGAAGGCAGGGACTTGCAGAATGCGTTGACAGTGGCATAGCAGAGGAGACTGAGTGTCAATGTCACTCGAAACAACAACCAATCATTTGTTTCTATGCACGATTAATCTTCATTCAGAATACGAACTGCTGGAAAGTCCACAGAAGCTACTTATTATTTTAAAACAGTGCTACTGGTCGTTTGTGGCCCTCATAAGCCTAGGTGTGAGTAAATATTATTTTATATTCACTCAGTGACATATATCTGACTGAGGTATTCGTAACTAAATGCATTCCCTTAAGTGGTTAAGTAACTGACTGAATAAGCAACCAACTAAATAACTACATATTTAAAACTCTGATATATCGAGATTTGGACAGTTTAATTGACGTAGTGTCCTACATTTCGTTACATAAGACAGCCTTTACTTCAATAGTTTCTTGATTGGTTATTCGTTTTATTATTCAGTTCATACATTATAACCATTTCAAGTACGAAAACGGTGGTGAAGAAATGTAATGTACTCTACTGACGGAAGAGAAGGCAGTGGTTTCAAAATACAAAAATATGCAAAGCTGATAGCAGTTCATGTAACAGAAACAAAATCACCAAAGGCTATTAAATTGGTTTTGTCATGTATTGAGATTGAAGGCTGAATGTGACACGAACAATAGCTGTGATCTGAAATAGAAGCTGGCAAATGGCAGTTCATTAACTGCAAATGAGAGGCTGATAGAAGCCGAAACGCTATGTTATGCAGAGTATTAATTATGCCCTGATGACTGAGGCAGCAAGAATTCTGTGAACTTCTACAAGACCACACGGCGCAACAACCCATAAGACAGCTTCTTCTTGGTTTTATTACTTCATACTTGAGAGCAAATTAAACCCTAATGAAGTTGACGGAAATGTATGTCATTAGTTAT